ACAGGCGGGGCTTAGTAGTGCCGCTACAACAACAACAACAACAACAACGACATACAGACGAGCCATTAACGACCTCCATAGAGTCAGTCACCACCTACCTCGACTCTCGACCCATGAATGCCGTAATAGGAGCCCAATCACCACCTGTAGAAGAGACGGAGCTGCAATTGCCAAGGGAGACCCGCGTTACCCTGGCTCAATTACGGTCTGGATACTGTAGCCGCCTCAACAGCTACCTGTCCAGACTCGACCCCAATATCCCCAATGATAGCCCGGCATGTGGAGAATCCCCCCATGACACCAACCACCTCTTTACATGCCAGCTCAATCCGACTCAGCTAACACCCCTCTCCCTCTGGTCCGAACCCATTGAAACAGCTCGTTTCCTGGGCCTCCCGTTAGTTGAGCTTGACGAAAATGATTGAACGTAGACCCGAAAAAAGCTGGGCTTAGTAGTGCCGCTACAACAACATCAACAACTGGCGTACTTTATGCAACTCGGCCAAATTGAATGCGCATGCATACATACATATGTATGTACATATATCCTTTTCACAGTTTAAACAGGTCAAAAACTTACTACTTTCCGAAGTGCCAGTACGCAGCGGCTCAAGTGTATTTGACCAGAAACGTATTTGACCCTCATGACTAGCTGTTATCCACATACCACAAGCTTCTGGCGAATCTTCAAGAGCAGGATTTATTTGTTTGCTACCCTCATCATCCTCGTCCATCTCGTCTGCTTGTGCGCGTAATAAACTCATAGAGCAAATGGGTGAGCGATGTTCAGATTTTTTAATTACTGGTGCAGTCGATATAGGTAGAATGAGTGCCTCCTTCTGGGTACTTGGATCATCTTCTTGGAAACCAAATATCAAGTAGGATATAAATTCATTCCAGTCGCAGAGAAAGTCTCGATTTTTATTGATTTTAAGAAAGAGACGATTGTATTCAATATCAGTAAATTTTATATCGAGATTATCAAGCGCTTCACGTAGTTCTCGAAGATTGAGTTTTTGCAGAGGGTGAGAAATGAATTTGTGATGTATGTTATTCGATATCATCAACTTTAAGCCATTCATGTAGTCGTTCGGGACGTTCAATGCTAATGGAGTGGCCGGTGGAAACTGTTTGATAATCAATGTCCTCGTCAATAAGCGAATCATTTTTGCTGGACATTTGAAAAGTTGTCGAAATATAAATTCTTGTAGTTTTTTAAATGAACAATTATTTAAATTTTTTTTAATAGAGCAAAAGAGAATTGAAATTAAAGGAAATTTTCAATGTTGCCTTAAGAAAATTCTGAACTACATATCGATGGTCCTCTGCAATAACGACACAATTCAATATTCAAAAAACAAAAACCCGTGCTACTTTTAAGTGGCTCATCTCTCTAACCCTTGTCTAATACATGTCCAATCCCCACGGCGCGAAACATTTCTTCGCATGCTCACTAAACCCCAATCAACTGACGCCTCCCGTATATTCCGAAGCAGGCATAACCCGCCCTAATACTTCGCCAGGAAATATATTACTTTAAGAGAAATAAAGTCTACTGTATGGTTTCGATTTTATTCTTTGACCACAGCCAAAATTCCACATTTCACATTCGTGAATGAATTGAAAAAGTAATCAATTCCTTTGCTGTGGCTTGAAGGAATTGAATCCTAATTACAATTACTCAGGAATGTAATGGTAATTGCATTTACCAAGCTCTGTTGATCAGCCATAATGCAAATTAAGAGTACAAACATTTAATTTATATTCACTTATTCTAAAAATATTTTATTTATTTTTTACGAAAATAAAAATATTTGAAAGCCACTGTTTAACTAAAACTCAATGCTTATATGCAACGCATTATTAATTCATTGATAGCATCGCCCCTGTCGCCATATTCACCACCACGTTTGTACGGTACTGAAACCTTTTTTTTCCAACCTTCTCGTGGACTAGTAAGCTATGTAAGAAATCAGTGGCATTATTCAACTAGATACATGAATATAAAAACATTTACCATGAATGAACAAAGGAACTCTTTAACCGCATCAAAGTTAGGTCCTACTGTATAAATTTCATGAATAATATCCTCCAAACAAATTATTCCTTTATCACCAAGATGTTCTTCAACCAAAGTGTTGGATTGAATGGGCGTTTTTTTGCTATTAACGCGAGCAAAACCCCTCTTAAACAGCAACTCCCGAATTGTACTCAATGAAGGGTATCCATAAATTACAAACGGTTCAATAACCTTCAACAATATTTGTGTTTCTTTATCATTTTTTAGAAATACAGCATTGTGGCGATTAGGCATGTGCAGAGTGTTAAATATTTTATCCGTGGTTTGGTCAAAGATCTTTTTACTGCAGAATAAACAAAAAATTTTAAATGTTTATGAATTTAATAACGTTTGCTTACCCGGCGTGTCTCATAACTAAAAGTAGTTTCTTATTGGTTTTATCGGCATCTTTCGTTGCCACCAAGTTGGTGCGTTGAATGGTTCGCTTGATGCGATTAGCCGTCCTTTCTGCTTTTAGATAATTCATAACAAATGATTCCGGGCGACGGAATTTATGGTGTCTTTTCGCACTTGCAACTCTTTTGGTTTTTAATGCTTTCTTCTGCTCAATGGTAGCTTTATCTTGAAGGATACGGCGTTTGCGGTGCGCAAGGACTGATACAGTTTTGCCCGGCAACTTGTTGGGAACAGCATATCTGTAGGCAAGCGAAGATTTGAATATATAATAAAAGTTTTAAAACAAACATTCTAACTTACTTGTCAGACATTTTTACAAATTATTTAAAGAAATTAGTGCGAAAAAACTAAATAACCAAGCACTTCAGGAGTTTGTAAACACGTGTGGCAGTCCAGTGACAAGAAAAACAACTTTTTGACAATTCAAATCGATAACATTTCGGTGAAATATGATTTTTCTCGATATTTTTGTGTCGATCAACGTTTATTTTCATTTTATTGTGAATGAGTTGTGCCAAAAATTTTTATCAGCTGATATTGATATTTTTCTCTAATTGGACATAATTCATAAATAAATACACTAATTGGAAAAAATACTTTTGGTTCGCACTTGTAATCCTAAAAACTATAAAGCAAAATATCCAAACCAACATGTTACTAATAGAACAGTATGAACAGCAGTATGCTGTACTGATTGCGGAAATCACATCTGAAATCGCACAACTAAAACAATTGAAATGGGGTAAGAATCATCCGAATACAGTGCAAAAAACAAAACAAGTACATATGTATTTCTTTTGCAGTGGAACGCCGAGATCTAAGCTCCAAAATCGATGCAAGCCTGGCAGAAGCGCATGAACTTTTAGAGCAAATGACCTTGGAAATACGGGATGTAGATGTTACGTTGCGTCCAAGTTTCCAAAATAAAGTCAGTTGTGCGCAAGTGGAATTGAAAAGACTACAATCCGATTATCGTGGTGCCAAAGAAGCTCAGCAGAAACAACACATGACAGTCTTAGAGTTGGGTGGTGGTGATGGCGATTATTATGATGATATTTCCATAAGTAATGATCAGCGACAACACCTATTGGAAAATTCGGAACGTATAGAGCGCACTGGAAATCGTTTAGTGGATGGTTATCGAGTTGCACTAGAAACAGAGGCGTTAGGCGCTCAAGTGCTTAATGACTTGAGCCATCAACGTGAAGTTTTACATGGCGCACGAGCTCGTTTACGAGAAACCAATGCGGATCTAGGACGAGCTTCGCGTACTCTGAATTCAATGATGTTACGAGCATTACGGGAAAAATATGTTCTATATGTAGTCGGTGTATGTTTTGTGGTAGCTGTTGGTGTTAGCCTTTATTTGACGTTCTCATCAAGTGCACCCACGGCTTAGTTGGTAATTTAAGAGTGATCTTTTTATTGTTGTAGTATTATGTATGTTATCGCGTATATTTATTTAGTGCATTGTCTTTGTGGTCATAAACGTTATACATTCCCTTCTCGGCAATGTAATGGGTTTCTTTGTTGAAATGCACAAAAAATATCTAAAAAATAAGTTTAGAATAAATCATAAAAAATATATACACATAATAATGCCATGAAATTCATGCGTTTTAATGAAATTAATGGAAATGTATCCTAGAAAATTATTAGATGCTAAAGTTATTTACTTTATTTAAATTGTTCACTTTATTTTATTCAAAGGTAAAATGTTGCTACATTTCACGTCTACGACTATGAGTATTTGAGAATAGTGGGTCGCATTGTTAAAACAAGCCCAATCTAAATATTTTTATTGTGACATCTGTTTTAGTAATGTCCTTTATTTTCGTACATAAATATAAAAAAAGAGTTTCATACACCTTTACACCAATTACGGCAATACATACGTATCTATATAAATAGTGATGCTTCAGATTTGGTGTTTTCGCTCCGACAAAATATTAATATGTAAAAGCCCTTTGAAAATGCAATCCAACTCAAAGTTCGAGGAATTTGGACGGATTGTAACAAAAACTACCAAATCTAACGTAGATAAGCTATTTAACAATTTTTAGTCCAGAAACTTAGCCACCTTTAAGAAAGCACAAAGTCGAAACGAAAAATAAATAAATAAATAAATTTACATTAATACGCATAAAATGCCTACAAATATCCCTCAAAATTTATGTATGAAGTTCGCTTTCACTCTTATTTAGCCGAACTCCACATTCCCCATTTGCTAGCAAATACATTGCGAACTTTCTTCCCCTGCATCAGCCTCAGCAGCTGAATCAATTTTGAAACTATGTTGCTCCAAAGCTTGGAGTTCCATTTTAGAACGATTGGCATCGACAAGTATACGGGAGATGTCGCGAAACATTTCCTCAACACCCTGCGAAGTTTTGCAAGAGGTCTTATAAGTGGCACTAATCAAGCTGTGGCACTGTTCGCAAAAGGCTTCTACTTCAGCGTCGGTCACCTGTGGCTCACGCTCTGCCAAATCACTTTTGTTGCCACAAATGAAAATTTTCGCATTTTCGGCATAAGTAACAATGTCGAGTAGATGTTGTGACAAGGAATGAAAAGAAGCAGCATTGTCCATGGCGAAAACTAGTATGGCACCCTCAGCGAATTTGTAGTATGATGAGGTAACAGATGCAACACGCTCCATACCGCCAGTATCCCATAGTTGAAGCTAAATTTGTGAAAATGTTAGTTTATACAGCCATATTTACATATTCAATGGGTATGGTATCAATTTTGCGGCTTACCTTGATTTGTTTATCACCAACCGTGTAGTCACGGTCTATGTGATCCAAGCCCAGTGTAGATTTGCGATCAGTATCTGTCACTGTTATGATAAGTGTAAGTGACCAATGCGTTTATGTGTGCCAAAGATAATTACAAATAATTATATCACTTCCCATAGTTCAAAAAAAAAATTACATATGCCTACAAACCAAATGTGTTGTTGGTAAAACGACGAAATAATGAACTTTTTCCCACTCCATACTCGCCACAGAGGATCACCTTTTGCTTTGGAATGCGTACCGACGCCATACTAAATTATCTCTTTATTAATTTTTCACCAGATAAAATACAAATTTAATGTTTTCCGGGCGTTATTCAATTTTAGTCGCTTGTACTCCGATAAATTGCAAATTTTCTCAAAAAAAAAAGACTTCTTGTTTATGAAAATTGAATTCTGCTTCTATTAACTAGGGATGTCAGTGGCAAAAATACATCGATGTTTTTCTTTGATTCGATGCATCGAAATGTACATCGATATTTTTCGATGCATCGAAGGGCATAGGGTGTTCAGATGCATTGATTTGCATAGGGGGTTTCAGATAATGATTTCCAACAAAATATGTTATTAGCAAAATTGTAGAAAATTTAAAATAAATGGGAAACGTGTAGTAGCGCTCAAATGGTTTTTTGGGGTGGGGGCGGAGGGGGAGAGGGAGAGGGCGGGCCCCCCCAAACTACCGCCACTAGAAAGGGGACAGTCCCCGTTTTCTAAAAAGGCGTCCTCCCCCCCTTTGGGCTCCTCCCACAGGCCCCTAGGGAACCGTTTGAAAAAGAGGGAAAAACGGAATTTTCTTAGGCAAACTGAGCAGTTTGAAGTGGAATATAACCCAACTAACAGAAACCGTGGCATTTTTTAATAAAAGAAATTATGGCAAATTAGATATCGGGCGATTTTGAATAAAGAATAAAAAAGTTAATTGAAAATAGAAAAAGTTTTTATAAAAAAATGTTCTTTTTAACAAATGTATTTTTGCGTAGAATTCCTTTCTGCGTTGGCAGCCTTCTCCTTTCTGTGTTGCCAAAAAAGGGGAGCTGAACACCTTTTGCATAGAACACCATTCTGCGTAAGCGGCCTTCGGCCGCACTTAGGGATTATAACCNAAATGGGAAACGTGTAGTAGCGCTCAAATGGTTTTTTGGGGTGGGGGCGGAGGGGGAGAGGGAGAGGGCGGGCCCCCCCCCAAACTACCGCCACTAGAAAGGGGACAGTCCCCGTTTTCTAAAAAGGCGTCCTCCCCCCCTTTGGGCTCCTCCCACAGGCCCCTAGGGAACCGTTTGAAAAAGAGGGAAAAACGGAATTTTCTTAGGCAAACTGAGCAGTTTGAAGTGGAATATAACCCAACTAACAGAAACCGTGGCATTTTTTAATAAAAGAAATTATGGCAAATTAGATATCGGGCGATTTTGAATAAAGAATAAAAAAGTTAATTGAAAATAGAAAAAGTTTTTATAAAAAAATGTTCTTTTTAACAAATGTATTTTTGCGTAGAATTCCTTTCTGCGTTGGCAGCCTTCTCCTTTCTGTGTTGCCAAAAAAGGGGAGCTGAACACCTTTTGCATAGAACACCATTCTGCGTAAGCGGCCTTCGGCCGCACTTAGGGATTATAACCCTCAGGCAGTAGAATTCTCCTTTCTGTGTTGCCAAAGAANATTTTTGCGTAGAATTCCTTTCTGCGTTGGCAGCCTTCTCCTTTCTGTGTTGCCAAAAAAGGGGAGCTGAACACCTTTTGCATAGAACACCATTCTGCGTAAGCGGCCTTCGGCCGCACTTAGGGATTATAACCCTCAGGCAGTAGAATTCTCCTTTCTGTTTTGCGAAGAAAAGGAGCTGAACACCTTTTGCAGAGAACACCTTTGTATATAGTTAATGCTTACTGTGCTATATCCTATCTTCTTTTGTCTCTCATTCTTTTGAATATTGTTGAATTTGACAGCCAAACTCCGCCATTTAATTTGCATATGCAACCAAAGTCAGACGCGTGATTTTTAACGTGTTTTTATTTTTATGAATTATTTTAATGAATTGTGATTAATTGGTTAATATTGAAGTCGTAAAGCAAGTTATAACTAATCGAGTAAAGTGTAAAGTGAAGGGGAATACAAAAATGTATTGGTGAAATGGCTGCTTTAAGGAGAATAGGAGTGATAAATGTACGCTAATTTCCGAATTTTACAAAAAAGGGCATATTTCAAACCCGATTTGTAAATAAATTAGTGACCAAAATTTACAAAAGAGAGTGTTAAAATAATGCGTAGACCCTTGACTACAAGTGTGTGGAATTTTTTTTGGATCGGGCCACCCCTTTGGACGGAATAGCCCAAAATAGTGCGCTACTAAACCCCACCCAAATAAATTACTGCAACTGAGCTAATTATGTTTCTAACGGAACTTCTTGCAGCCATTTAAATTTTTAGCCAAAGTCACTTTTTTTTTTTTGAATAATTGAAAAACTGGAATGACGGTTCAATGTACCGTAGATGTCAGTTATCAAAAAACATCGATACATCGATGCATCGATACATCGACTATTTATACATCGAGGGGAAAATTTTCGATGCAACGAAGCAAAACATCGATATTTTCGATGCATCGATGTTTTCCGACATCCCTACTATTAACAGAGAACGTAAATCTATAGAGAAGGTCCAGAGAACGTTAAATACGATACGGAAGCGATTTAACAACTCTCTTGTGTAAAACATGGCTGCATTTGTTATCTGCAAATATATCGAGAGAAAATTCCTCAAAATAGAAATCCACAAAACATACTCAAGCGTAACCGAAATTCCTCACGTTTTGGGGAATTACTTACAAAGTGGCAACATTTAGAAAAAGTTCATTTGGAGGACAAAATATACATAATTATTTGTTTTTTATGAACAAAATGTAGGTTAAGTATAATATTCATCTTTAATGTATGCTGATATTCATGCTGAATTAAGAATAATACATACATAGTTAACAAAATTAACGCTTGTGTTTTATAAACTGAAAAACTCAAATCGTAATTATAGTACTGAATTGAGTTTTCTTAAATGTAAGTTTAAAATAAAAAAAATCCATTGTAAGATTAAATTTTTTATATAAAACGTAAGTTTTGTGAATTTATCAAGCCAAACTCTAAATTTCCGAATATATTTAAGTCTTTATTAAAAAAAAAAACAAGGTCTGCATAGTTATACAGACCCCAATGCCTGCCAGCGCATCCGCCCCAGACAGTCCTAAGCACACCCAAGCTTGAGTGATCTACAAGTTACAAGCGTTTTCAGCATTTAACAGTTATGTACGGTGTAATATAACAAATTATGCATTGAACTATGATAGTATCTATAATAATAGACAAAAATTTGGGATGTTTTTACACTTTTGCAATTAGTTTCGGGTACTATTACATAGTCATGACTTGTGCCACTCTGCCATAGTACGGTTGTTGCTCCCTTTCATACCACAGTAATTTTGTATACAACTGTGGCATGAACCAACGATTACAGATCACCTAATCAGCCATCGTTGTATTTGTAAACGATTTTCAGAAAAAAAGTTTTCGTAGCGTTTTTGACGTTTTTCGGTTTTGTTTACACCGTCTTCTACCTCTTCGTAGTGATTTTTTAGCGATTGAATGTGTTTTCTGCAGCGACTTTAATTATAAATTTANAAAATAGTGCGCTACTAAACCCCACCCAAATAAATTACTGCAACTGAGCTAATTATGTTTCTAACGGAACTTCTTGCAGCCATTTAAATTTTTAGCCAAAGTCACTTTTTTTTTTTTGAATAATTGAAAAACTGGAATGACGGTTCAATGTACCGTAGATGTCAGTTATCAAAAAACATCGATACATCGATGCATCGATACATCGACTATTTATACATCGAGGGGAAAATTTTCGATGCAACGAAGCAAAACATCGATATTTTCGATGCATCGATGTTTTCCGACATCCCTACTATTAACAGAGAACGTAAATCTATAGAGAAGGTCCAGAGAACGTTAAATACGATACGGAAGCGATTTAACAACTCTCTTGTGTAAAACATGGCTGCATTTGTTATCTGCAAATATATCGAGAGAAAATTCCTCAAAATAGAAATCCACAAAACATACTCAAGCGTAACCGAAATTCCTCACGTTTTGGGGAATTACTTAC